CCACAAAAGGGGGTGTACACTCCTTCCTTGGAGGTTTTTAAGCAGAGGTTGGATAGCCATCACTCAGGGGTCCTTTAGTTGAGATTCCTGCATTGCAGGGATTGGACTAGATGACCCCCAGAACCCCTTCTAACTCTATAATTTTATGATTCTAACTCCTGAACCTGCAACAAACAATCCTGGATCCTTGTTTCTCAGTGCCCCAAGCATTTTCAGAGCATCTTTCCCTCACCACAGCATAAAGCCCCCCCATTACAAATCAAGGATATAATTCCCAGAGTGGTCGAAACAATCAATCCTTCTTTTCTGGGAACTCCCAGCACCCTTAAACTACACTTCCCAGGATTCTTTGGGAAGTGGTACAACAGTACTTCGAATGTATCATGCTGAGTGGCCCCAGTTACAATGTGGGTAGGGGAACCCACAGAAAAGGTGGGTACAGAAGGAAGCCAGAGAGAACTAGTATCCCACAGGTGTTATGAGAAGCAGCTCCAGCATAAGGGATATCAAGTGAGAGAGCAGGAGATGGGTCAGGGACGGACAACCCAGGCCAGAAGAACTATAACTCCAGAAGAACTATAACTCCCATCATTATGCTCATGCTGGCTGAGGTTGACCACAGCTGGACATCTGGAGGACCACAGGTTCCCCATACACAATCTAAGAAATTGGGAAATGAAGCCATCTCAGGAAATCCTTTTCTCCCTGTTACAAAGTGCCAGGCCACCAACAGGCTACAGCGTGCACAACAGCCGTGGGAAATCCTTGAGAATCTGGGATCCTTGCCTACGGGCAAGGCAGCTGTGTGGGCCCAGGACCGTTTGCAGGGCTTTGTTTTGCATCCACTCGGCATTTCCCCATTCCTCCTCCTTGCTGGATTAGCTCACTTAGGCTCTGTTTGGAAACAGCAGCTTTTTGAGAACTTTAAAATGTGGAGCCACACCGAAAAAACGTGCCAATGGAAAATAAGGCAGGAGGAAGATGGTAAGCCAGCCACGTGTGCTGCATTCACACATGCAATCACTCAGAGGGGAGAAGTCGCTTCCCCATTAGCGCATGATGCGCACTGTTCCCGGGTTGCCCAGAGCAGCAGAAGCTTCTCTGACATGTCTCATGCTTGGGGCACCACAACCTCTGGCTTGCAGAGAGTGCAGCCACTTCTGGGGATAAGCATTTCTCTCTCCCACACCAGCCCTGTCCTCAGAGTCCCGGTTTCAGATTTGTTTTGATTCACACTGGTGGAGCTCAAATACTGAGTTATACGGGCACTAAACCTTCATTACCAGCTCTTAACACAGATTACTTAGGAAAGGGGGCGGGGAAAGAGGGGCACTTTAATTGCTTTTCACCATTAGCATTTCCGGAGGACAACACACTGATTAATTTGAAGAGGCGTTCTGTGGCCACTACCATTGTCATACTCTCTCCTCGAACCCCAATGCCCTACTTAGTTGAACATGGTGCCAGCCTATATGGCCTTTTCCCAGGTGCTGGAGATAATATCACAGCACCTGATGCAGTAAGACAGGAGCCCCCAGAAGACCCCCACCCAAAGACCACCAGGGAATGTAGGGTTAGAAACTCACGATATGTGAGCTAGGCACCAAATGGCACCTTGGTTTCAGTCACCACAACAGAATGCCTGTTCCCCATAGGGTTGGTCTAGATGACCCTTAGGGGTCCCTTCCAATGCTACAATTCTAAGATTCTATGATCTCAGCTACGTTGCTTGACTGTAGCTTGCTCTTCCAACAATTCACTTGTCCCAGTATGCAAGAAGGAGAAACATACACAGTGGAAATGGCGTTAACTATGGGCTAGGGCGGAGGTTTTTAAACTGTTGTTTGTGAGTTCCATTTGGGTGGCTTGTGGAAAGGCTGTAAGGTAAAGGTAAAGGGACCCCTGACCATTAGGTCCAGTCGTGACCGACTCTGGGGTGGCTCTGTGGTTTAACCCACAGTGCCACCCGCATCCCGGAAAGGCTGTAGCACTGTCAAATATCTCCGTTCTCAGCCCTGCACTTATTTTCCTTGATGTGATGATGGAGGACTGTGTGCGAGTCAGCTGGCTCGATGGAGATGCCATTGCCAAACTGGTGCCCAGAAATCTCCACGTATTCTCAATCGAATCTGTGTTAGCAGGAAAATGAGCCTGGTGCCTGAGGATGCCTCCCATTGCACACCACCAGTCCAGTGGTGCCAGGAATGCATCAGGAAGGATGCTAAGGAAGAAGGCGGAGAGCCCATTTTCAGCGAAGGGGATTGGCCCTTTAAGGCTCAAATTCTCAGAGAGGTGGTGGTGAAGCCTGGAGGAGATAGTCTGAAGGCAAAGGCAGAAAAGGCTTCAGTCTGTTTCCAATAGTTGCTGGAGAAAGTTGTTCCCTTGGAGCCATCTGTGGTCCATCAAGCTATGCCTTGCTCCCAGCCTCGCCGCAGCTCCTGGCATCGGACCAGAATGTGTCAAAGCCCCTGAGAGGTTTTTGAGGATCCCCAAAGATCCCAGTTTGAAAACCAGTGCCTTAGATAAGTCAGGTTCAGGGGAAGGTCCTAGCTTTGCATGCAAAAGGTTTCAAGGTCAATCTCTGACATTTCTAGGTAGGGCTGGGAGTGCCCCCTTCCAGGAACCACAGAGAGCTCCCAGCAGCCTGAACAATACTATATTTCTAGACATCTGCAAAGGAGACTCTGCAGATTCCACATTAAAAGAAAAAAGAAAACCCTGCTTGTCATTACTCTGTATTTCTTGGGAACATGACGGAGATGAAGAACAAGTTCAGAAAACAGCCATAAAGGAAATCCTTCTCTGAATCAGATCCTCAAAGCTGATGGGAGGGGCGGGGAATCAGCCTGTCGCTATCTTCAGGACAGCTGGGCTGATTTAACCAAGTTTTTACAAGGGTTCAGGTCCCCCCCCCCCCCAGCTTCAACTTTTTCTTTTTATAAAAGCAAATGAACCGCCACTGAAAAATCTAGACAACAAAATTAAAACGTTAAACTTGCTTAAGAAAAGCAGCCTGGGGCGTAAATGGAGTAAACTACTCTTTCAAAGCAGCTAACAGACTGATCTGCTAAAAAGTAAGGTTTGGGGACAGATCTTTAAGATGCGTACCCCGCCTTAAATTAACTCATGCAGGAATGCAGCAGAGAAAGAGAATGAACACACAGAGACAGACACCAAAGATGGGTTTTATTTTTGCTTTCTGCTTTCATCAACACATTCCTCAGAATTGCATTTTTAATAGCATCCTGTTTCTGAGAAATGTGTCTTGCACACTTACATTGGTCCAAATGAGGGATTGTTCAAATATGTAAAGGTGGTTTACATATTTAGGAATGCTAAATGAATGTTCACTTTACTTTTTTGAATTTGGGTCCAAAAAATATTTGTGTTCAATTAGCAAAACAAACATTGTTTTTCTTGTTGGGAAGTGATGGGATAGTCCCAGGAAAGACAAACCAATGGTCTGATTCTGTTTTTAGATGTTCATCAAGAGGGCAGCTCCCATGGTTCAGGTCATTTGCAGACAACATTCTGAATGGGTAAAGACTGTGGCAGCCTAGCACAACTGCCCCCCTAGAAATTGTAATTTGTTCTAGTTAGGCACAATTGAAAAGTCTGCATTTACTTTGCAAGTTCCCGTATGGAATGACCTGATCTGCACTTCTAAGGCTAATGCGCAGATTGGAACTTAGCTATCCAAAACAGATTTCACACTTCTCTGAAAGCACAGTTCTTGAAAACTTCAAAAGATACAGTACTCATCTAAATCTGTAGTTTGAGGGAAAACGCACATTTTGCATCCGGTTCCAAGAGATAAAACATTAACAAATGTACAGCGGTACCTTGGGTTACAGACGCTTCAGGTTACATACGCTTCAGGTTACACACTCCGCTAACCCAGAAATAGCGCTTCAGTTTAAGAACTTTACTTCAGGATAAGAACAGAAATCGGGCTCTGGAGGTGCAGCGGCAGCAGGAGGCCCCATTAGCTAAAGTGGTGCTTCAGGTTAAGAACAGTTTCAGGTTAAGAACAGACCTCCAGAATGAATTAAGTACTTAACCCGAGGTAAGGTAAAGGTAAAGGTAAAGGTAAAGGGACCCCTGACCATTAGGTCCAGTCGTGGCCGACTCTGGGGTTGCGGCGCTCATCTCGCTTTATTGGCCGAGGGAGCCGGCATACAGCTTCCGGGTCATGTGGCCAGCATGACTAAGCCACTTCCGGCAAACCACAGCAGTGCACGGAAACGCCGTTTACCTTCCCGCCACAGCGGTACCTATTTATCTACTTGCACTCTGACATGCTTTCGAACTGCTAGGTTGGCAAGAGTAACCCGGGGTACCACTGTATTAAAATGCTATTTAAATACAGGTTTTTAATCTGCAGTTTAAAGTGGAAATGCAATGAAATGGTATGCAATGGTATTATGGGCAACATAGAAAGAGTCCAGCTGTTGGATCAGACTAGAGGCATATCTAGTCCTGCCCCGTTTCCCATTCAGATTGCTCCAGGAAGTCCAAGGGCAGGGCATGATGACAACAACCCTCGTTCACTGTTAATCATAAAATCATCAGAAGAAGCTGGATCAGGCCAAGGCTTCTTCCAGTCCAGCATCCTGTTCTCACAGTGGCCAACCAGATACATTTGAGAAACCCACAGGCATATGATCCAATGGTATTCAGAGGCTTCCATTTGCATTTATTAAAGATATATTTTTTGATTTCTTATGGACAGAACTGGGACATTTTAGGAGCTGGGGAAAGGGCCTCAAATGCCCACAATCTAGGACATTCATGGAAACCATAGAAAGCTGCTTATACCGAGTCAGACCATTGAGTCTCTCTAGCCCAATATTGCCTACAATGACTGGCCGTGGCTTTTCGGTGTTTACAGCAGGTAACAGTGGCAGTGAACCTCACACTCCAAGTAAGTGTCGTGTGAAGATTCCATTAACACAAAAGTGACACCAACTGGAAATAGATGGATCCCTTGCTCTATTCCAGGAACAGTGTAGCTCAGTGGTAGAGCATCTTCCTTGTAAGCAGAAGGACCCAATTCAATCTCCGATGGCATCTCCAGGTAGGGCTGGGAATGCACCGTGCCTGAAATCCTGTAGAGCTGCTGCCAGTCAGTGTATACAATACTAAGCTAGATGGACCAAGGGTCTGACTCAGTATAAAGCGACTTCCCATGCCACAGCCACAGTGTATGAATTAATTTTCATGTCTGGGTGGCACCCATGATAAGTGTTATTTACATTATAAACTCAAGGCATATGTAGGAACAGGATGCATGCTCTTTTAAACCAGGATGGAGAACTAGGTTATCCAGGTATTCTGAGAATCATAGAATTGTAAGTCTGGGAGGGACCCCCCCTTGGCCATCTAGTCTTACCCCATGCAAAGCAGGAATCACAGCAAAAGCATCCCTGATAGATGACCACCCAACCTCTGCTTTAAAACCTCCAGTGAATCAGAACATCAGAGAATTGCAGGGTTGGAAGGGACCCTGAGGGTCATCAACCTCACCCCCTGAAATAAAGGAATCACAGATGGAGACTAAAACTTGCATCATCATCATCATCATCATCATCAACATCATCATCATCCCTGACCATTGCCCATGCTGCTGGGAGTTGTAGCCCAACAACATTGGCTACCCACTGTTCTCCCCAATGTCAATGCCCTACATGATGATCTAGACCAGCCTTTCTCAACCTGTGGGTCCCCAGATGTTGTTGAACTACAACTCCCATCACCTCTAGCTAGCTAGCAAGGCCAGAGCTCAGGGATGATGGGAGTTGTAGTCCAACAACATCTGGGGACCCACAGGTTGAAAACCGCTGATCTAGACCCTCACTGTGGAAATCAGCCAGTCTGCATTTCCATTTGATGACCCAACGCTCAAAGCAGACTGCAGTAGCCAAGGTCAGTTCCCTTTCTGAGTAACTCTGCTTTCAGTCAGGAAACTCATTATTATTAGCACGAAATCAGGCCTCTTACATCACGGCAATTTAAGGCTCATCCTCGCCTTTTCATTTTGCAATAACTCAGGCAACTATTCAATACACAATCAAATACCAGTTATTAATGTCTGTGGGAAGGAGAGGATCTATAGATAAGGTTCCTGGAACACACCTGTGCAATTTACATGGCACAAAATCTAGGGCAGGGGAAAAACAAGAACAGAGCTTTAATTTTACTCTAAAACAATGTCTGCATTTCTCATGGGTCAAACGGGAACACTTTCACAGCCAAATGTAGACCCGGATGGGCACACATACTGAGACAGTAATAGAAACCCTTTTGCAGGAGTAGACCTTTCAGATACTGCTGGATTCATCAGCCTCAGCCAACAAAGCCAGCATTTGGATCTGGAGATGACAGAGCACAAGGGCAGTTGGAGGGCTGCAGCTCAGCAATCAGAGCAGCTGATTTGCTTGCAAAAGGTCCCGGGTTCAATCCCTGGCATTTCCGGCTAGGTCTGGTAATGACTTCCATTTAAACCAGTAGTCCTCGAAAGGATGTGGTGTGCCACACTGGTGAGGCAGAAGAGGATGGCAAGTGTGACGGGAAGATTCAAGGACAATCAAAGAAACATTTAAACATTTCAGTGTGGTATAGTATCTATCTATCTATCTATCTATCTATCTATTGCAGAATATGGATAGATATCTTTTCAAAATGAGAGCAAGAGCACTGGCTATTCTTCTACAGTTCTGCATGACATATGGCTGTGAACAGGAATCTTCAACTCTGATAAATATGAAAGATCAGAAAAGAGAAAGGCTTCTTTGTGTTGATGAGGAGATGAGAGTTTTTTTGTCTCATATTAGACCTAATATAAATTAGATTACCCGGCAAAAGGAAGCTCACACCTGTCACTGAGTTTGTATACATACTTAAGGTATGTATGTACGAAGCTCGTTTGACATTATATTTTGGGAATGATTGTTGTTCTTCTCTAGCTGCATGGTTTTATACTTTCTGGATGTCCTGCGATCATATTCTAAAGGAGTTGTGTTCTACGTTCTAAATCAAGCACTGCTAAGAGTTGTTTCATTTTCTTTTCCAATACATTCCTTATCCATTAAAAACATGGATGTGGAATAAGCAAATTTTTATTCTGAAAGTGCAGTCCAGAGAAAAAAGTTTGGACACCACTGATCAAAAGCAACTGTCAGCCAGTGCAGGCAATATGAAGCTAGAAGAACCAATGGACTAGAATAAGGCAGCTTTCTGTGTTCCTGTGACAAGGACTGAATAATCTCAGGGCCTTAAGGAACATGTTGCCTTCTCTCCCCTTCCCTTGATGTCCCTCCCCTCCCCTCTGCTCAGCTCTGTGCAGCCGTCAACCAAATATCTGATTGAAAGCCTAGGGGAGGGAGTTTAGAACTGTCCGGTCTGGTTAGGATTGAAGGTCAATGATCCAATACAGACGAAGGATGTGAAAAAACAGGGGAGGGGGGATTGAGAGAGAGAGAGAGAGAAGGAGCCTGCTCAAAGAGAGAGGATAGAGGATGCCACGAAGAGCAAGGAAGTGTCTGGAACGCAGTTTCACACTCTGAGACCCAAGGGCTGTTTTTACTCCTGTCCTTCATGCTCACATCTTGTCACACTAGAGGTCAGGTCTCCCAAGCGTTCCTGGAGAGCTGAGCTGATCCATATGGCAGGCAATATGTTGACAATATGGATTGGCCAAACGCTGGAGCAGATGGAGGCGGCAACCCGGCTTCCTGCCCAGAGAGGCCTTTCGCTTTCTCCTCGTCCTCCCCTGTCGGAGCCACACCAAAGGAGAGAGGGAGCAACTCTGTCAGGAAAAGTGCCTGCCTAGGTTAAAGGCGCTGGTCCTTTCTGGGAAGGCCAGGGATAGGTTCAAAGTGAGAAGCGTCCGTCATAAAGCTCCTGCTCAAAACTGTTCACGGAAGATTCGAGGCAACTGAGCGGGCAGAGCAGAAACAGCCCTTAACATCAACAACACTGATTTGCATCCAACTAAGCCCTGTTCAAAGCAGAGCCACAGAATTGAATGGACCCAGCGTTAATCACGTCCTTCCATTTCAATGGACCTACATTGACTACAATTTATTTGGATACAACTATTTGGCTTCACACAGTACATGTTGAGTGTTCAAAGCGCAGTGCATATGTCAGACCAGTAATCCTTATAATACTCCAGTGAAGTATTTAGGGAAAAGGAAAAGGGGGATATAGCTCAGGGGCAGAGCACTTGTTTTGCATACGGAGGGTCCCAGGTTCAATCCCTGGCATCTCCAGGTAATACTGGGATGAAGACTCCCTGCCAGAGCTCCCTGGAGAATCTGTTGGTAGATGTTGCTGTGGTGGACAGGCCAATGGTCTGACTGGGCATAAGGCAGCTTCCTCTGTCCCTGCAGTAAACCAGGATCATCACCGCAAAGATGCAGTTCCCTCGACTGCAAAGACCACAGAGTGAGTGTGAGGACTGGTGAAATGTGAACTCAAGTTTTCCTTGTTTCCAGTTTGCACACTCAACTATCATGATGCCGTAGCGTAACCTGCCACCTCACCTCAGCTACAAATTCGCTTTATGAGCTTGAGGGAACCCGCTGTGCTCTCCAAACAAATTCCATGCAAAACAATGGGCCCCAACACAGTCTCTCTCACTTCGGGGCCCTTTCCCTCCAACATCTCAATCGCTGCAGGATGAACAACGGTACGTTCTGCAACGTCGTCTAACACATATATGCAGTTGCTAGTTTGCTGCTACTCCTTGTCCACTGCCCCACGTGGCACCCATGATAGTTTCTTGGATTTTCAAATGTGTCCATGAACCCAAATAAATTGGCGACACCTGGTCTAGTCAGCCGTGCTGGCTGGGACTTATAGGAGCTGCAGTGGTTAAAGAAGACCTTTTCTTTTTGACAGTCATAGTTATTATTTTGTTTAATTGATTTGAAAGAGTTTATAAAGTGCTCAATATTTTAAATGGAAAAGCAAACAATATCATTAAAAGAAAAATGCAACCTAAAATGATAAAACAGGAAATCAGGGGATTCAAACTTGTAAAACATAATCTGATCTTATGTGTCAGAGAAAGTCGCATGACCCTGTCCTATAGCTCTGTTCCAAGTAAGACACTCCCTTTGTTCCAAACAAATCGTGGAAGATCTGTGGTTTAAAACAGAAACCGTGGATCACGCCCACTTGTTCCTGAACTCTTTGCAAGATTCGGAGAGGAAGGTTGTTGAAATGCCCCGCCAAAGGTGCAACTGAAAGTTTTACTACTCTATGGTAAGCATTTTTAAAACAAACTCTTAGCTGGAGGATTCATCCATGTCAAGAACCAGCTCCATTGTGTTGGCTCCTACATACCCTTCGAAAAGAAGTGTGGTACTGTAGTTCTGCAAGAAAACAAGCAGAAGATTCTTCTGCACTCCTGCAAAACTACAGTCCCCAGATCCATGAGAGTTAATCGGCTTAAAAAACCAACAGGCAAAGTAGATATAATGCTAATTGTGTGGCATCCACTGAAAATGTCTACAGCCTATTTGTTAATTTATCTTGGAACAGTTATAGGCTACCTTTCTGAATAAAAAGAGAATGGTAACAAGAGAGCATCTAGTGTAACAGAATAAAATAGCTCCCTCCCAAGACTCCCAAAGAACAATTCACAAAACAAATTATATGAACGTAGCTCATAAAATCAGCAGTCAAAAAATCAACAGCTTGTCTAACCCCCCCCCCCCCAAGCAGACACCTGCCTCCTGCCCTGCCCCAGTCCTACCTCCTTCTCCATGATGTTTAATATAACTTAAACCAGATCCTGGTGTGATGACCTCATATATTTTTTCCTGTGCCAGGAAAAACAATTCATGTGGTGGTGGTGATGAGGAGATGAGAATGCTGTGATGTCAGGACATGTGCAAATTCTCCTGCATGCTGGGTGGGGAAGCTAGTTGCGAGGATGCTGATCTCAGCAGCAACATGTTCAACAAGTCCAGAGCCCTTGGTTAGCACCAGGGCTGGCCCTATCATTGGGCAGTGTGTGTCAGCTGGGTGGGAATGACAAAAAGCAGCAACAGGTTGTTGAGAAGATAGCAATATCAAAAGCAACACAATGGCCAGAAACAATAACAATGTGAAAAACTTTATGGAATAATTCAAAACATCAAAACTAACAAACTGAAGTCTCTGAAAGTCCTTATTTGAATCATGGTGCCAGACTTTACCCGGCGGACAGCAAGCTGTGAAGCTTTGTATAATCAGCAGATATCCAATTCTGATGTCGAACTTTGAACTCTGCTGAACAGTGCTGAACAGTGCAGGTCATCGTGTGAATATTTTATTTTCAGTTAATGAAGAAATTACATATCTTTCTACTTACAAGTGTTGAACTAACTGGCTGATGAAGAATTCAACAAAACAGTAGTTGTTATCCGGAAACACTGTTCAGCAGAGTTGGACATCAGAATTGGACATTTGCTGATTATACAAAGCTTCACAGCTTGTTCTCCACCGGATAAAGTCTGGCACCGTGATTCATTTAAGGACTTTCAGAGACTTTCAGAGACTTCAGTTTGTTAGTTTTGATGCTTTGAATTATTCCATAAAGTTTTTCACATTGTTATTGTTTCTGGCCATCGTGTTGCTTTTGATATTGCTGACTCATATTTTGAAACACAGGGGTTTGTTTGTTTACTCATTGTTGAGAAGATAGGGCAGTGTGTGCCACGTGGTCTGCACTCTGCCGTGCTAAGCCAGCCTGCTGACCTCAGGTGCCAGGGAAGGCCCGTCCCACCACAAAGACAAAAGAAGAACCACAAAGACACCTTCTGTACTGGGATGGGAAGGGGCACCATCTTGTCCTTTGCCTCAGACAGCAGATTGTCATGGGCTGGCCCTGGTTAGTGCAGATGCAGTCACAGGCTTTATCCATCATCTGGAGTAACGCAAGCATTTCACTTTTCAAGACGGGCGGCAGGGCACTATCAACTTATTTGTAGGATTTCTTACCTGCGCTTCATTGTAACATTCCGATGTGGGTTACGATGACATAGCAATGCAATATTAAAATGAGCTTAAACAATTTGCATCGGAAGAATAGGGTGGGTCTTAGAAATACATCTCAGCCGCAAAAGGCCAGGGGGCAAAGAGCTACACTGTGAAGGCACCAGATGCACCTCTGTGGGGAGGGAATTCCACAGCTTCCAAGAGGGAATTAAACAGCAATGTACACAGTGTAGAACATTTTGAGCATTGCAAGATGTATCAGCCTTGGGCAACATCAGAACTTCCCTTGAGCAAGTTTTGTTTATACATGGGGCTCTAACGGAAGAAAGAAAGCAGGCAGTGCTAAGGATGAACTAGTTTGAATTAATGAAGTTCATCGAGTTAGTTCAAAAATCTCCTCAACTACACTGAAAGTAGTTTCTATAATTGCTGGGTAGATAGAACACGAATTAAGTCAGGAGTGGGTTTTTTTGGGGGGGGTGGGCTTTGAACGATTTCTAGTTCATCAGCAAGTTCATTCTCTTACCGGTGTTTTTTACGCTCAGACTCTTTGGGCCTTTAAGCGTAAAGATCATAGTTTTGATGGGAAAATAATTAAACAATTCACATCCACTGTATGTGGGTTGAGGTTATTTTTGGACATTTTAGTCGTCTTCTGTTATATATCTCAGCACAGCAGCTTGTAGCTTTCTGAATGTTGGAAGACGTTGCTGAAGATTACTTGGACAAGCATGAATTGAACTGTGAACTGCACACGAACCAAACTAGTTCCTTTGGCACATATTGAAATAGAAATAGCTCCTTTTAAAAATGAACGTCCCAAGCTGTGGATGCAGAAATACCTCAGCAGAGGCTTAAGAACACCCATGCAAGTAGCCTGAGCCACAAGATCTGACTGTAAGAAAAAAACAAATTAGTACCTTGTATCCTGTGTTCCCTGGGCTTGAAATCCATTCCAAATCAACACGTTGAGGAGGGGTGTCAGGATCAGTAACCCCTCCCAGGGTGCTTCAGGAAACAGATAAGAGTCTGACAGGTTCCCTATACTTGGTGGTGTCTCTTTGCCCTAAGGAAAGAGAGGGAAATTGTTTTAAAGTAGTAATGAATTTACAGCCCCTTTTTGAGAGCAACCGCCACACAACTGCTAACAAGTGTTTTTAAAAATTACAGTTCCAATATATAAACTTTTCTGATGCAGCAGAGAGCTGCTTAATTTATCAGGTTTTATTTTACTTGTATAGGTAAAGGTAAAGGGACCCCTGACCATTTGGCCCAGTCGTGACTGACTCTGGGGTTGCGGTGCTCATCTTGCTTTATTGGCCGAGGGAGCCGGCGTACAGCTTCCAGGTCATGTGGCCAGCATGACTAAGCTGCTTCTGGCAAACAAGAGCAGCGCACAGAAACGCCGTTTACCTTCCCGCCGGAGCGGTACCTATTTATCTACTTGCACTTTGACGTGCTTTCGAACTGCTAGGTTGGCAGGAGCTGGGACCGAACAACGGGAGCTCACCCCATCGTGGGGATTTGAACCGCCGACCTTCTGATCAGCAAGTCCTAGGCTCTGTGGTTTAACCCACAGTGCCACCCGCGTCCCGTATTTTACTTGTATACACAGCTAAAACCTGTGAAAATGCCAAGCTTTTCTAATATGCTGACGATCCATATCTTCACCTGGCCTTTTGATACTTTGATAGACAGATAGGTAGATTAGAGCTGTATTTTGGTACAAATGGTGGCTTTTGGTGCAAATGTAACATGTAAGAGAGATGTGCAGCAGGACACTTCCCATGTACTATATTTATTATTTATTTCTGAAAGTGCAGAATTCCATGGTTATAGGGTTGTATCCAATGCCAGCCCTACTCAGAGTAAATCCAGTGACACCAATGGACATGACCAAGTCCAATTAATTTCAGTGGGCAGGACTAAGTAGTTCTGCTGCTCCCATGGGACAGTTTCAACGTTGTAATCAACTTTTCAGGTAACCAAATATATGCAAAGGCCTTTGAGCTTGCTCAAATTCATGTGTTAACCATTTTTAATGTCTTTGGGGATTTATTTCCCCCCTTTAAAATTTAAATATGATAAGGGAAGCACGTGCTGTTTGGTTTTCTGATTATTAGTTTGCAAGTAATTCTCTATTGCCAAATATTCTCATATATATCAGGGTGGTAGGCAACATAAAATCATCAGTAACATTTCATCAACAAACACAAATAACTCTTGTTGGACTCTAGATTCCATCAGCCTCAGCCAGCATGTCCAGTGCTTTGAAATGATGGGA